GGATAGCTAAGGAACTAGGGAAGACCTCAGCAACCCTAGGATTGTCTTCTTTTTCTTATTTATACCACAAGGATATGGACTCTAATCCTGGTTAAATTTGCCCAGTTCTCAGGGACTCTTATTCTCAGGAAATTCAGTTCGATTTAATAGATGGTAAGTGTATGTGCAAAGAACCATGCTGAGTATTGGGGTAGATAACAAAAATGACTTAAGATATAGTCGCTGCCTTAATGGAGGTTTCCAGTCTAGTGGGGGAGGTGGGAATGCAACACATACACCCACCCCCAAGTTACTGTAACACAAAATAGAATATAAGTGTATGAGAGGTGGAATTAATGTGCTTGCAAAGTCCAAGGAGGAAAAAAAAATGTATCCCTGAGGAAGGACAAAGGACAGAGGTGACAGTTAAATTCTGTCTTGAAATATAAGTAGGATTTCAACTGATAGTTATAAAGGATGGTATTTCTGTACATCTGAAATATATACAGAACAATGGTGAGCAAAGGTACAGAGATGGGAAAGCATGGGATGTGTATGGGAGCCCTGAGTAGTCCATTTTGTTTATGGAATAATACATGGAATGGCAATGGGGGAGTAAGATAAGGCTGGTAAGATAAAGCAGTATTGGGGCAGCTAGGTGGTACAGTGCATAGAGCACCAGCCTTGGAGTCAGGAGGACTTGAGTTCAAATGCGGCCTTAGACACAGAGTACTTACTAGCTGTGTGACCCTGGGCAAGTCACTTAACCCCCATTGCCTAGCCAGGGGGAAAAAAAAAAGATAAGGTAGTACTAGCCACCTGTCAGCAACCACATTTTGTAACTTGATGAGCTGATATAGGTATAATTTTGTATGCAGGAACCATGGTTTTATTTGTGTGTTTTAATTATTGTTTATATACACATAGAGACAGCATCCCATGTATACATGTATATATGTGTGCATACGTATGTATATGTGCATATATACATATAGATGTATATACTTAGAGAAATATGCATGTTATATACATATACGTGCATCTGTATGTGTGTGTGTGTGTGTGTGTGTGTGTATAGAGTTGTTGGTCAGACCGTGTTCAACTCTTTGTATCTCCATTTGGGGTTTTCTTGGCAAAGATACTGAAGTGGTTTGCCATTTCCTTCTCCAGCTTATTTTACAGATGAGAAAACTGAGGCAAACAGGGTTAAGTGACTTCTCCAAGGTCACACAGCTAGTAAATGTCTGAGGCTGGATTTGAACTCAGGTTCTTCTGACTCCAGGGCTAGCATTCTATCCACTGCTCCACCTAGCTGCCCAATATAAGTATATACACATATACATATGTGTGTGTATAATATATATGTGTGTATATAACATACATATGTATACATTGGCCATACTTGCTCTGTATAATTCCCATGCAGGAAGAAGCTGAGTTCCCCCTGTCCTGTGTTTCTCAAACTTCCCACCCACTCCACCCCACCCCACCCCACCCCTCTCTTCCCCATAGGCAGCCTCGTTGCCCAGCTTAGTGATGTTCTAAAGGCGATTCTTGCTCCAGGGTAGTTTGGATCAGCTGACCTCTGAGGTCCCCTCCGCCACTGAGATTCTGTGGTTCTTCGGTGGCCAGCAGACAAGCAGACAGAGCGAGCTTCTTCTCTTTGCTGTTTGTTTTGGGCTCTGCCTGTCAGCCACAGGTCCATTCACATCTTGGGAGAAGAGGCAGAGCCAAGAGAGCATGCCCTGTGGCAGTGGGTGCCCGGGAACCCGCTGCCATCCTTATGGCTCGGATGCCCATTTTAGTAAACGCTGCTGATGAGCCCTGGGAGCTGCTCCAGTTTCAAGAGTGAGCGGAGCTGCACAGCCCAGGCCTGACCGGGGCATCCCGCGCCTGGGACATCAGTAGGAATGGCAGCACTGATGCTGGTGTCTGTCACTTTTTGTCCTTCAGTCCCTGCTTTGTCCTGATATTTTTGTGGACACAACCCCAGAGGTTTTGTAGAGGGAGGAAAAAGTGGGAGTCAGAGAAATAACTACCTTCACTTTCTCTTTTTCCAGCTGTCCATGCCTTTTACTTTGGAGATTAAATTTTGAAAGGAAAGTTGGAGACATAGTCAGGAGCATGCTAATAATGCAGCAACTTTAATAATAAAAATAATAGTAATTATTATAATTATAGTTAGAATTTATATGATTCTGACTATGTACCAGGCACTGTGCCTTAGCACTTTACAAATATCTCATTTCTGCTATTGTTATCCCCATTTTATAATTGTGGAAATTGAGGCAAACAGAAGTTAAGTGACTTGCCCAGGGTCACCCAGTTGTTACGTCTCTGGGGCCACATTTGAACTCAGGTCTTCTTGACTCCAGACCCAGCACGTTCTGCACTACATTCCCTAGCTGTACAGGCATTAATTAAGAGATCTGTGGCTCTTTCCTATTCAGGGTCTTTGGACCCTTTTAAGAGAAGTAGGAAGAGAATTAAGAAAGAGAGGAATCTTCTTAGATTAGTAGGCAACTGTGTTATTTTTGGTTGTCAGTCTCCTCCAGTGGTGTACCAGAGTGAACAGGCAGCATGGGTATTTCTTCCTCACAGTTCTACAGTGACTTAGATTATATCTAGCCGCATTTCTCCCCTTCCTCTGGTCCCACCAGAGAGTCTAACTGTCGAGACCATCCTCAGAAAACACCCTTTGCAGGTGCTACTCAGTGAGTTTGAGTATTTAAGGCAGAGTTCATAAAAGATTAAAGAACTTTTTTTGTACAGGTCAAATGAGCTGTAGTATTCAGTAGTTCTATCTTTTAAAAAAGTACCCAAAACCTGAGAAGACTTATATGAACTGACACAAAGTGAAATAAGCAGAACCAGGAGAGCATTGTACACAGTAACAGCAGTACTGTACAGTGATCAACTATGAACGACTTAGCTATTCTTAGCAATACAGTGATCCAAGACAGTTCCAAAGGGGTCATGATGAAAAATAATATCCATCTCCAGAGAAAAAACTGGTCGGGTCTGAATACAAATCAAAGCATACTTTTTAAAAAAAACTTTATTATTCTTGGGGTGTTTTTTTGTCTGTATTTCCTTTTGCAACATAGCTAATATGGAAATGTGTTTCTCATGACTGCACATGTATAATCTATATCAAATTGCTTGCCTTCTCAAGGAGAGGGAGAGGAAGGAGGGAGAAGGAAGAGAATTAGGAACTTAGAAATTTTTAAAAAGTTGAAAATTGTTTTTACATGTAACTAGAAAAAACAAAATATAAAAAACATAAAATGTGTTATTTGGCAACATTAGTGCTAGCTATTAAAAATTTTTTTTAAATTTTTTTCAAGTCACCAAAGTTTTGCTTAAAGTTTTAAGTTTAGCCATTGAGAATCTATAACGCTTTGGAACTTTAATTAAATCTTTCATGGCACTTAATAGCAAATGTTTTAATTAGAAAAGGGCTCAAGAGGTCATGTTGACCAGTTCCCTCATTTTAAATTTGAAGATCATAAGATCACATATTTGAAGTAAGAAGATATCTTAATGGTCATCTAATCCAAGTCCTATGTTTTCCATATGAGGAAACCGAGTTGTCTTCCCAGGGTTGTAGGAGTAGTAAGTCAGGGCTGAGATCTGAACCCAGATCCACTGATTCCAAGTCTGGGGCTCTTTCCATTACAACATGCTGATAGTGTGGGTTAACTGGAAGTAGGTTCCTTTGACATGACCTGTGATCCTAGGATCATACAGTAAGAGCAAGAAGAGATCTTGGACAGATGCTCTTTGGAGATTATCTGGTAAATATTTGGTAGAAGGATAAAAATTTTTATATGTTTGTTGGTAAATATTAATATCAACCTGTATAGACCAAAACTTATTATAGCCTTTTTCCAACTAAAAAAATCCTTAAGCTTTCTGTTAGTCAAATATTCATTTCACATGAAAACTGCTGGATGTTGTCAACCGATTCTAACATAATAAAAGGAAACTGGACTTTGTGAGTGGATTTGGCTTGTAGAACCTAGCGTTCTGATGACCCAAAAGAGTTATTGTAGCTTTTTGCTTTAGGTCCACCTATTGGTACTCCCCATTCATGAGAAGGTGGTACACCAGCCCTGCAGTCAGGAAGACCTGAGTTCAAATGCAGCCTCAGACACTTGACACTTAACTAGCTGTGTGACCCTAGGCAAGTCACTTAACCCTGATTGCCTCACCAAAAAGAAGCATCAGCAAAGGAATTGATAGCTGAATCAGTGCCTACCCCCAGTTTTTATCAAACCTAAAAAGAACAGCTCTTAAATATATTCCCGATGTGGTCAACAGAGAGCTAGGACTCATGTACAAGCAAGGTAGTATCTAGTTTTATGGAGAGGTTTCAGTGCTTTTTTCTTCTTCCTCCAGAATAGTGAAAGAGATTGGAATAAGGATGAAGATGCACTGATTACAAAAATTAACAGAATTTTAAATTGAACTCCCATGGATCTTTTTGTACTTGCAGAAAATTTCTTGTCGCTGCCATTCTGCTATTGGTACAATTGAGACAGAGGGTCTCAGTGACTTGCCCAGTTATCATAAAAAGTGTTGTTCAGTCATATTCAGCCACGTCTGACTTCATGACCCCATTTTGGGTTTTCGTGGCAAAGATACTGGAGTGGTTTGCCATTCCCTTCTCCGCTTCATTTCACAGATGAAGAACTGAGGCAGATAAGGCTAAGTGACTTGCCCAGGGTCACAAGCTATTAAGTGTCTGAGGCTAGATTTGAATTCAAGGAGTCTTCCTGATTCCAGGCCCAACATGCTATCTACCACTCCACCTGGTTGCCCTATGATAAGAATAAATATTGTAGGGGAAATATATATCATGCCATCCCATAAAATACTCAAGATACAATAAAACAAGATATCAGGTCCAGTATTAGAACCTCAGGATCATCTGTCTAATGCAAACTATTTTTAAAATAATTCCTGTCAGATCTGCTTTTAGTACAGATTTTAATATTAAATTGTTTTTCTCTGTATAGACGTCGTCTGATCTCCCAGAGATCTTCCTTGGAGACCTTGGAGGATATTGAAGAAAATGCTCCATTACGGAGGTAATTTGTCTTTGTTTCATACGTTGCTAACTTGCATGAAAACTTTGTGGTGGTAGATAGCAGGTGAAATGTGATTTCTTGCTTTAAAAAACTTACCGGAAGAATAACAGTAGAAATTAGGAAACTATGAGGAAGCTTAGCCTGCCAACACAGGGGCCTGTTAAAAAGTGGAAAATAATTAAATTCTAATTATTTATGAGACACCTGCAGTTTTGAGGTTTCTTTCTTGTTTGCTCTTTTTTGAAAGCAGCTCCTTAAGGAAATGGAAGCATAGGATTCTCCAGTGTCCCGCCTCTCAGCCTCAGGACAGCAGGCTAGCTGTCCTAGGCCTCATTTTGAGCAGTCACCACAGCTGCTGTTGCAGCTCCTACTAAGACAGTTGAAATGTCACTTGGTGACTAGTCCCAGAACCCTCAGTAAGAATAAGTGTGTGATGCTTGTGTCTGAGAGGGATCAGGAGGTACTAATTTGGATCCTAAAGAGGTACGATAGTAAGAATGGTAGTTGTAATAGTAGGAGTAACAACAACTAGCATTTATATGCTGTTTTAAGGTCTTCAAAGCACTTTAAAAATATTATCTCATTTTGACATCACAGTAACCCTAGGAGGTAGGTGCTGTTTTTATCCTCGTTTTACAGTGGAGGAAACTGAGGCAAGTTACTGACTTTTTTTGGACTCATTTGTGTGTGAGGTCAGATCTGAACTCAGATCTTCCTGGCTCCAGGTCCAGGATTCTATCCTCTGTACCTTTTGACAGTCTGCTAGCCATCAATGTGGATAGAGAAACAAATACTTATAGCATGCTCCAATATGAAGTTCATATAAAGTACAGCTGTTTTCCAGGCAGTGTCTCTGGAAGGGGAGGGGAGAGAAGAACAAAGGAGGAGAAGGAAGAGTAAGAGTAGGCAGGGGAGGAGAGGATGGGAGGGGAAGGGGAGAGAAGAGAAGAGGAAGAAAGAGAGAAAAGGGGAGGAAGGGAAGAGAAGGGAGAGGATGGGAAGGAAAAGGAGGGAAGAGGAGAGGAGAAAGAAAAGGGGAAGGCAAGGGAAGAGAGGATGGGAGGGGAAGGGAGAGAAGAGAAGAAGAAGAAAGGGGAGGGAAGAGGGGAGAGAAAAGGGGAAGAAGAGAAGAGAGAAGATGGAAAGGAAGAGGAGGAAAGGAGAAAGAAAAGGGAAGGGGAGGAGAGGATTGGAGGGGAAGGGAGAGAAGAAGAAGAAAGGGGAGAGAAAAGGGGAAGAAGAGAAGAGAGAGGATGGGAAGGAGAAAGAAGGGAAGGGCAGGGGAGGAGAGGATTGGAGGGGAAGGGAGAGAAGAGGGGAGGGAGGAAGGGAGAGAGGGAAGAGAAAAGGAGAGGAGAGGAAGGAAGAGAAGGGGAAAGAAGAGGAGGGGAGAAGAAAGGCAGGCAGGAGAGAACAAGGAAGAGGTGGTGAGGGCTAAGGAGAGGAGAGCAGTAGCTTGCCTGGGGTCACATAGCCAGTCATTGACAGTACCAGGACTAGCCCTGACTCTTAGCCAGCCAAATCTCTTTTCCACCATGCCAGCTTGGAGCTACCCTTCAAAATTAGGAGGCTGCTTGAGAAACCAATTCATCCAAGCAGACAGGTATAGTGGACTGCAAAGATCACTTTGTTCATAAAATCGTGTGTCCTGCACTGATTCTATTAGAACTTAATTGCCAAAAGATTCAACTCCCACTTAGGAAGTCTAAATCCTTCATAAATCCTCAAGTTGGTTTTGTATTCTTTGAGACTATCTGCAGGTGACCTTGGTGGTTTTAAATGGAGTTGAAGATGCATGATAATATTTGGCTTTGCTACAGTTATTGCTCATTCAGTACAGGAACAGGGGGCTTTTTCTCTGCTTTGCCAGTACATTTACAAAGGTCACACAAAAAGCTACATTCAGAATAAAACTAGGCAACCAGTGTCTGTCCACATGAGTCAGCTGGCATATAGGCTGAGGCTGCATTTTGAGCCTGCCCCGCTTTGCCCAATTTGAGAGCACTTAGGAGAGCTGAATGGGAAGAGACCATCAGTACCATCAAAGTCTGCCTCCCCACTCCCATCTGACCCAGGAGGAAACAGAGCCAGAGAAGTGGAGTGATATGCTTGAGCAAACGAGTAATAAGTAGCAGAATTCAGCTTTTAACCCAGTTCCTCTTAGATCAGAATCAGGCTAATTTTGCCTCTCTACAATGGGTAAAATAAAAATGAACCAAAAAAAGTCACAGTTCCAGGGAACTCAACAGCACGAATAATATGATGGAACTGATAGAAACAACAACAAAATTCCGTATACAGGCCTGGACAAACTCACCTCCCTGACCCTAAAGCATTTCTTTCCTAGAAGCTTGGTTTTTAGGGAGAGTCTTCCACTAAATCCACAGTGGGAATAGTCAGAGTTAAATTAGGGTGAGGGAGGGGGTCGACCATGCATGCCTGGTCTACATGTTCAGTGCCAGGCTTGAGTGCCCCTTTTGTTCCCAGCCCTAACCATGCAGAAAGAGCCAGTCCTACATAGACCTGGCACCCATTTCTCAGCTTCTTACCATTGATACTTAAGTGCCCGGGCTTTGTGTGTGACACCTTTCTTGAGACTGCTGTTCATGTTCAACTTCTCTGGTTGGTATCTAGGTGTGAGGGTGTGTGTGTGTGTGTGTGTGTGTGTGTGTGTGTGTGTGTGTGTGTGCATGTGCACGTGTGCGTGTGCGTGCATGTGCATGCCTATAACTAGGTCTGACTTTGCCTAAAATCCTGTGGAACTTGATAATTACTGTTCAGCTCCTTGGGAACTCTGACTAGAGAGGGCAGAGGCAAGATAAGGAGATTTCCCTGTGGCTCTCCTGTTTCTGCCTAGTGATCTTTTAGAGAATCCTCTTTGTATGTATCCGGACCTCTGTCCTCTACTTTCTGAGGCTTGTGACACTGTGGTTAGGTGGAATAAAAGTGGAGCATTTCCTTTCGCAGATAGGGATGGTAAATAAAATGTGTGCTGTCTATTTTAATATTGATTATATTACTAAATATTATTTAATGTACAATATTTCATAATATTGTATGATGTATAATGTTAAATTATAATTTTATGATATGTTACATATTAAATATAATATACAGTACTATGTGACATACATATCACAAATATGTACTATTGTGTGGTGTATATTTTATATATAAACGTATATTATGGGACAACATGAAAATATATTTTATATTATATGACAATACTTAATATATTTTGATTCTATTACATAGTGTTTAATATATTTTAATAATATTGAATATAATATCTACTGTTTTATAATATACTATTATGATATGCTATTTAGTAGCAAAATAGATCTCATATAATATGTATAATACATTTTAAATTTTACATCTATTTTTAGTTAGTATAAGGACTGGTCTTATAATATCACTGGTATACGGAACACCCAGGGAAGGAAACTCTATCTACCAGTGCAAGCTGGCACCTTCTCTGTAACTTAGTCTTAGAGCTGCCTAGAGAACTGAGAGGTTCAGACACTTGCCCAGTGTCACACAGCTGGTCTTCCTCGACTTCAAGGACACTATGCATTTTTAATTGTCCGTTTCAAAATATGAGGCAAAAACAAAAATGGCAGAAAACATTAGAACTTGTACAATTTTAAGAAGCTTATCCTTTGCCAAAATGTCCTTTTTTCCCCCTCCAACACTCCTTCAGGAAATGGTATGTGCTAATAACTCAAATACTTCAGGCCTGGAGCTGCTTTGGGAACTGTGGGGGTGGGAGAATATTGGCCAAACTGTATTTTTTTTTTTACTTAGTATGTTTCTCTAATGACTCTAAGGGAGCTATTAAAAACCTTTTGTATAATTAAGTGTATCATATAATCAGTGCTAACAAGGAATAGCTGATCTGTCATTAAATTAGTTTTAATTTAATTCATTCCTAATTTAATTGTAGATTGCTTGCAGTGTTTATTTTTAAGAGAGAAGCTTCCAGTTTAAAGTCAGTAACTTTAAAGTTTGCTCATCCATCACTTAACCTGCCATAACCTGGGCTAACCAGAATTCTAGCTAGTTTCCTTGGTGATGGTTGCTAACACCATAATTCCCTTGAAGCATTTCTCCAAATCCCTAGTGATCTCCTTTGAAATTTTTTTTAAACAAACAAACAATATGCCTATTTGAAAGCTTATAGATTTAGATATTAGCAAGGAAATAATGGCATCTCCCTGGTCATCCAGAAGCAAAAGCTCTTCTTTCATCCTTTTCCCTTCTTGCATTCCTCTTGGATACATTTTTCTTTTCCGATGCTTCACTGAGAAAGGAACGTTTCCACCAATAGTTCTTTGATAAAGGGCCACCCCGCAGTTTGGGTCCTGATTTGATCAGAATGGAAGTGCAGGTCTCCAGGAAGCATCCAAGGAGATAGCCCAGGAAGCCTGAGAACACAGCAGCCCCCGCTTTCTGAGGCTTCTGAGTGTGTCTGGGTGTTGCCAGCAGCAGCTGTTAAACGGATTGCTACCTCCATGTCTTCTGCTCCTGCTGGCCTCACCGCCATCTGTGTTCCTCTGCCCTACTTCTGATTTTACCGGAGGGTAGAAAGAAACTGGTGCTTTTGCCAGAGGGTCTGGGAGAGGAGGGGAGATGTGTGGAGGGGGAACAGCCCAAGGGGCTTCTGATCCATCTCCTCCATCTCCATTAAGTAAGTGTTCATTCTAAATGTTTGTTTGCCAAGGGTGGCAACCTGTTCCAGCTTCATGGGAAGGGCTAGCATCTGTGGAAATATGCAAGAGAACAGGGACCAGATAACCCTGTACATTTTGATTTCATCAGAATTCTTCTGGAAATGTCACCCTGTGTGCTTGGGGATCTTGACCACCTAGTCTCTCTTGAATTGCTAGAAACTCCTGGCCTATGACAATTAACCCTAAGTGGACTGAGCATGTCGAAACCATGGTCACCCAACTTACTGTATTCCATTGGCTCACAGCCCTAAATTCCAGAGTAATTTT